ACCTTTACATAACAGGAAACATACATCAATTTGAATTAGAGCACTGAATCATCTAGCATCTCATTGCAGGAAATGATAGCGATTGCAAACTTTTGGACAAAGACATCCTTTATCATTCCCAGGATACCGAACGCAGAGCTCCAGCTGTAAACTTGATATTCCATATTGGTAAACATCTCGGCCCCGTCCGAGTGCACACAAAAGGGTATGGTTCTCTTGAGATCTTCTGATGAAAGGGCGTGCAGAACGCCGTGGTGTTTCCAAGGCTCCTGGAGCTTGACGTGGTTCCAAAATGCAAGGACGCCTTCTGGACTCAAATTGCCAAGGAAAATGTCGCGAAACTGCACAGGGCCACAACCAAGAAATCATATGAAATGACATCATATGAAACCATCAAACCAATTGCAAAGCACGCTTCCCCAACACAAGTAAAGACACAGACAACAACGCCTGCGTTTTCCCTGCTGTGTAGAAAGCATGGAGCACTTCGTGTGGTAGAAGCACACTTGCGCCGACTGCCACCGGCGCATCAGACATGTCAACCTTGGTGCGTACTAACCAAAGCCACCATTACAGTTTTGTTTCCCGCTAGCTATTTGGAATACTAGCATAGTGATTGCCAGGAACAACAGCCAGAATGCTTTGGGAAGTAACCTGGAGGTTGAGGGTGATCTCATAGCGCTCCAATTGAAAATCAAACACACCCGGTGACAACCATGTGTGCAGATCCCGCTCACAATTGCCATCATGTTTTCCATTTGCACCACAACTTGCCAATGGAGAGCTGGAGCATTCAGGCCTTCCCTTGTAGTTGCCCGAGCTATTTCAACTGCCGTTTGGATGTGCGTAGAGCCCCGCCCCACCAAATCTAACAATTTGTTGGCCGTATAGCTGACAGGTGCTTCGCTCAGCTTCACGCGCTTGCTTCGTGAAGAAAAGCCTGCAACACGAAAGAACAGTTGGGCCAAAGCCTCAACACACTCACAAACACACGCAAAGCGAGAAAACCTTCCTCAAATCTCAGTTGCGGGTAGCTTAGGTTTGTGGCATGGAACTGCATGACAGACATGGTAAGCGTGTGAGTATGAACTCTTTCTGCTCCAGCGCACAGGGCACAAGTGACTGCCTGGTCCACGTAGATGAGAAGTCCTCATGACCCTATACAGATCTACTGGCAGATCTGTACAACCCCGCCCTAAAAGGACTTCAGCAACTAAGCGGTCTTTCTGCGCTTTGAAGACTTAGCTTTGTCCTTGCTTTCATCTTCCTCCTTCTTTTTCTTCTTTTTTGGCAAGATGCCAGCGGCTGAGGCCTGCAACGCATTCGACGCGCAAGCATTGATATCATTGATGAACAATGTGTTTCTTGGCTCGACGCTGAATGGAGAGGGGAGTGGTTGAGGGAACAAATCATTGACGCTCAGCCAGTGGGAAGGTTGAACCACCAGGACAGGAGTCACCGTGAATCACCGTGATTTAACCCTTCAATGCGCCTGAGCTTTCTGGAACCATGCATCTTTCTTGTTCCATTCATTGTTGACCGCTACATAGTCCTTCTCACTGTTCACTTCACGGTTGGTTTTCTCTTGGAATTCCATGTGCAGCGACTCCATCGCTGTAGCGTGCTTCAGAAGCAGGGCAGACAGCGCGTCTGCGAACTCAATGTTTTTCAACCGGATCCCCAAAGCCCTCGCTTTCGTGGCTTGCTCCAAGACTTTTGGCATTCTTTCCAAGGCAGACCTTTGGCGCGCAGCGTGATGGGCGATGGGGGCAGCTGGACAATGATAGATGGCTGACGATTCTTGGCGCATGAAAACTAGGTTGGGTGTCTTTGAAAGTTTGAGAAAGGGTGAAGGTGTCATCACATGTCATGACACGAGATGTCATCACGAGGTGTTTGAGTATGGAAGGTCTCTTGTGGACGCGCATTCTCCCTTAAACATCTTTGATTGAGTAGAGACCTATTGGCTTTATTCTTGGGAGGTTGGTAGAGTCTAGGCCCTTGACTTTACTGTAACTCTTGGGTAGAGTCTAAGCCCCTGGCTCCAAGGGTGACTTTGGCTTCAGGTCTTCAGTATCGTTCTTCTCAACCTTGGCCCTCTTCGTTCTTGAAACAGTTTTCTTTTCATCATCCAAGGCAGCCAAAAGCTTCTGGGCACCTGCTTCCGTTGCAGCGACGACTGAAGGAAGCGCTCCAGGCTGGAAACATCCACCATCGCCTGTCAACGCAGCGAGCCCCGCTTCATTCACTTTGGTGTTAGCCTCAAGTGTAGCTTTCTCACTCGTGCGGTCGTCTTGGCGTACGATTTTGCCCCGTGGCATATACACCCAAAGCTCCTGTCAGACCGTGGGCAATAAAAAGGAATTGATAAGTAGAACTAACTCCATACACGACGAAACCTTTTATGGAACCTGGGCCTTTGACAACCTTTGAACCTTATTTGCCACCCCGATAAGGCTAAGTTTTGGAGCTCCCTTTTCCCAATATGTCAAGATTGAATTTGTTTGGCGCAAATACAACTTAGTCAGTCCTCCGGGTCATCTGGGAAGTCGCGGTCTTGGTACACCAGGCCGTCCGCAGTTCGTTTCTTGAGGAGTTCATCAAACTTTGGTTCACTGAGCTTCGATCTCAAATCCTTCACCTGAATGGCCTCCCACTGAGACCTTGCCAAGTGGGATTGTTCCTGCTCCTGCTTGACAGCGATGGTGACTTTGTCCCACTCTTGCCCACAGTCGAGCCACATCCCAAACAGAGAGTTCTTGTTCTTTTTGAAATGCGGCGCCAGCTCGATCGGGAAAGCCTTTGTTTTGGCAGACTTTGAGAACTTGTCCCCCCACTCTCTTTTGTGGGTCGTAGAATTCCGAACTTCTTTTGCCACAGCTTCGGTCCTTGCTGCCGCTGCAGCAAGCTTTTTGCCGTTGGATTCTTCCACTGGGTGGCCCTCCACACATGGATCATCTTCGCCAGCGCTTTCTTCTTCTCCCTCACACTCATCCTCTTCACTTGCCACCTCTGCATCCTCCTCTGCACCCTCAGCCTCTTTCTCCTTTTCATCACCGTCACCACCTTCTTTTTCTTCTTCTTCTTCCTCCTCCTCCTCATCTGCATCGTCCACCTCCTCTTCGCCACCCTCGCATTCCTCCCCCTCTTCACCACCCTCACATTCCTCCTCCGCCTCCTCCTCCTCTTCATCCGTATCCATCCCCTCTTCTTCTTGTCCATCAGAAGAATCTTCTGATTCTTCCTCATCCTCATCTTCACTTTCCATCTTCTGTGGTGGAGCCTCGGCAAGCTTGGATGCCATCTTGCTAGCCAAGACTTGGCCACATTTTGGATCAGCTGGATCGTCAGCGAAATTTTGCAAGAAACTCCCGATGCCGGCAGCATCGAAATCAGCCTCAAGCCTTGCTTTCTTGCAGGCTTCTCGCAAATCCTTTCTCGTCAGCAGCGCTTCTTCCGCTTCCCGCTTCTTTTTTGCGTGCAGGGGTTCTTCACTCGCAGTGGTCGATGGAGTTTGGCTTGGATCTGGTGACTTGATGAGAACCCTTTTTGTAGGAGGAGTGACATCAACCTTTGGCGCAGGCTTGCCGCCCGGGTTCCTCAAGACACCCTTCCTTGCAGCCGGCTGCGTAGAGGGATCGGAGCCCACTGCATCATCTTTCTTCTCCTCAGCACTACTATTCTTGTTGGTCTTCTTCCCATTCCCATCATCTTTCTTCTCCTCACCACTGCTCTTCTTGTTGGTCTTCTTCCCATCATCTGTCTTGTCCTCACCGCTGCTCTTCTTATGGGTCTTCTTCCCATCGCTGCTCTTCTCGTCGGTCTTCTTCCCATCATCTTTCTTCTCCTCAACGCTGCTCTTCTTATGGGTCTTCTTCCCATCACTGCTCTTGTCGTTATTCTCATCATCCCCCTTCTTTTTCTTCTTGCCACCATTCTCACAAGGCTTGGTGCCTCCACTCTCCTTCTTATCGTTCTTCTCCGCCGCGTAGTCCTCTGTGCTCTTCGGGACCTTCTCTTCTTTACCCTTGGGACTCTTCTTCTCTACTTTGCCTTCATTCTTCTTGCCAGTTTGGGCGAGAGCCAAAACCTGCTTCTTGATATCTGCTGCCTTTGTCTGCGTGAGCTTGCTTGATGAGATGGTCTCCTTCGAGCCAGGTTTCAAGCTTACCACTTTGGGGATAGCTAGCGCCAACTCCAACTGTTTTTTGTTGGCTTCCGCTGTCTTGGGATCTAACTTTACCTCCTCCTTAGGCTTTGATGCACTCTGGACCTTCAGTTTTGAGGCCGATGGCTTCTTTTTGACCTTTGTAGGTGCTTTGGCCATGGTTCAGAGACAGGTCTATTCAACACTGGGCACCACCAACTCAAAAAGCCAAAATGGCCACTGCAGGTGGCATATGTTTGAAGTTTGTCGACACCCAACTCAGTGGTCACAATTCACAATCAATAGTTTCTAGTTGGGACGCACACCCTAGATACAGCTCGCACGTTCTCGCCACCGCTCGCACAGTTCTCGCTCCCGCTCGCACTATCCAACTGTCACTGAAAACACATTTTTTGGGGGTTTCGGTTCACCTTCCCCACGGGCAGGCCCCAAGAAGCGCCTTGAGCTGGTTTGCGCTTCAGATGCAACCTTCCCATCGCAGCCTGGCAATGAACAAGATTGGATTGGGTTAGCTTTGGGCGGCCTCAAGAGAGTTTTGGTGTTTCTGGCTACACATGTTGTGAAGATAGAGCAAGACTGCGCGTGCCCCCCACCCCTTCGGTGAAGATCGTACACACTGGTGTATTGCATGTGGCAACTTCGAATATCTTGCTAAAGCATTTCTATCGCTTTACATGTGGGAAGGTTTTGAAGATACAGCATGACTGCAGAGTGGCCATTTTCCCTTCAGTCGATATCACACACACTCATGTATTGCACATGGCGAAGGTGATGCTGCCTAATCGGACTAATTTGGATCACATGTGGATGCAAAAGAAACACTAAAAGCTAGCTACTTGGCCAAAAAATCGAGGATTGGCTCTAAATTGGCCATCTTTGTCCATTTGGCATTCACAGCAGCTGAACAATTCGCTCGATTGGCCGTGTTCTTGGCCGCTCTCAGGAACCTTGCAGCTTGAGCGCGGTGCTTCGCAGCGTGCATGGATCGCACCTTGCTCACAGCTCTGCCGAACCTGGGGATGGCCGTGGATGAGGGTGTGTATATGTGTGTTTGGGGAGAACATGACGCAGCCTCAAAGGTTCTAAAAACTTACTATAGGAACACCTTACAAGTTTGTTTTGCAAAACAAACGCCTTGTCGGATAGGCTTGTGAAGCCTTCAAGTCTCCGCCACCCTTGATACGCTTTTTCCCAGAACCGTCCACGTAGTGAACCACCATCTCAGCACTGTTCTCTGAGACGAGGGAGCGATCCGCAAAGTCATTGATTTCGAACACCTCCGGATGGCCTCAGGAAGAAACCGTTGTGCGCTGAAAAACATTTTGGTGAAAACCCGATACCGTTTTGGCAAAGCAGTGTGATTGCTTTTTTCAATCTCAATCAAACCCTTTGGACACAAATAAGAAAGGGCGCCCAAGAAATGTCAAAAGGTTTGCGTAGGGGATACGCAAGGCCTTTTGACCTTTGTTGGACATTGCTGCAACCCTGGCACTGCTGTACACCCATGTAGGCTTCCTCGTTTTGCCGCCGAACCAACCCATGGATGTGGTGAGCCTGCGCACGTGGATAGATGGAAAGCGGAGGAACGCCTGAAACAGTGGATGTCTCTCCAGCAATGAATTCACCGGTTGCTCCAGCGTCCACCAAACTTTGCGAGATTCGCAGAGCAGTAGGAGAATGATGATACGGGCCACCATGATGTTGGCGTCCTCCACGGACTTAAGTTCTCGCCTTCCCAACGGTCTCTCGGAAGTGCGACCCGTACTGCCTCTCGACCTCAAAATCGTTTACTGCTCCGGCTTTCAACGCTCACCATGCAGGAGAAGTTGTCGCGAGCTACTTAAAAGTCCAAGACAAAGGGTCATGGAAACGGACCCCCCCAAGTCCCATTTGGCGCCTCCAAAATACTAGGTTTTTGACCATGGGTGTAGGACTTTGGGGGGGTCCGATTTCAAACTTTCCCCAAGCCCAAACCATAGGGAACATTTGCCACAAGACAGTTGAAAGGACACAAAGCACAAGTTGGCCCTAACAATGGCGGATATTTACAAATACACAAGCACACATATTCAGAAAGCAAATTGCAACTGAGGGGCAGGAACACCCAAGATGAACAAACAGGAGCAGTGAATTTGCCACTCCCAGGCCGCAACCGGAGCACTTGGTGCAACATGTTGGCGTAGCCCACATCCGAAAGGATGTCATGGTCTTCAGACAGCACCACATCCATGGGTACTGCTGCTCGTTTTGCCTGAAGGGTACCAGGGTCGTTTCACGAAAGCGTTATGGCTTATGAGCTTCGCCAAACCAAATCTGAACAACCTTCTCAAAAACAGTGGGAGGCACTGATGGCTTTCCCAACCCCCACCTCCCACTCGGCACGTGTGATTGACATGCACCCGCTGAAGGTCTCCAAGTGTTGAAGCGGTTCAAAGCTGAGCGATTGGATGCCAAACATCAAAGAGGCCAAATACAGAATGACCTTCCAGGGAAATTGAATTATTGCATAACAGTGTGACTGGGAACGGGTTCAAACATGTCAGATCAATCACCTCAGCCTGCCACATTTCCACTTGGATTGAGGGGTCCTGTTGTCATAGCCCAAGTCAACCCAAGATCAAATCCCCATGTATTGGCTCAACCTCAACCGATAGTGGAACTAGCTGGCATTGAAACATGAGACATGTCCCACAAAAACCTCCAAACAACCTTTTCAAACAAACTTCCCACCATTGGCGCTTTTAAGGAGCGCAGCCCGGCCATTGTCCACGCTCGCTGCTTCTGCTTGTATGCGCTGGGCTTCGGCGATGAGCTGCCAGGCTTGAATTTCATGGCGCGCATACTCTTCTTCGCCTTTTGTGGGACTCCTTTCATCCCGGAAAAGCACAGCTTCGACCACGAACAGAACTATGAGCGCTTGGGCCAACTCCAACTCGACATGTTGTGATTTTGCTATTCACTGCAGGGTGTGAAATGTAAAAGCCTGCTGACACTAGAGTTGCATTCCCTGTTCAAAATCGCTTCTAGAGACTTCCATTCTAGTGCTCATGACTCAAGCGTTGACCTGCAAACTCACTGAAAATCTTGTCGTTTGAGCGCGTCTGCGCAAAGGCCTCGAAGATCCTCGAAGAACTCGCCTTGCGGGCGATGCAAAGATCCTCGCACGGCATGCCGGTGGAAGCTGGTGGAAGCTTGGCAGGTTCTCCTTTGGCCTCTTGGTGGGTTTTCTGAACTAGAAACTGTGAACTGTGGGGAATGTCTCACCGTTGGCTTTCACGCGCGCATGTCTTTCAGCGCGCCAACTAAAACAGTCCTGGGAAACGTGATGGCCCCCACTCCCAGCGAAGCCGAAGTCCAGAAAGAAGTCCTGCAGTATGGAAAACATGAACAAGACTCAGCCCTTCGTATATGTCTATGCCATAATGAAAGTTCCTTGCTGATTGACTCTCTGTTGGTCGCAACTTCAATTTTCTCAAGTGCATAAAACAAAGACCCACCCAGCTGTCCTGACCCCCGACAAGCCAACCAGCCGATTCGATGATGACGAGGTCGAGGTAGGCCCGCGCGGAGACAAAGTGGACACTTAACTAACTAGCACCTCCAGGAACTTCCCCAATTTCATGAGTCGTGTACTGTTGTGTTGCACGTCCAATGCACAAGAATCGAGAGAGGGTTCTGTTGATACACTGCTGATGGCTTATGAAAGGGTCACGTGGCCTCCAGATGGCTGCACCAGCGTGGGATAGCCGGGTAGACGATGATCACGATGTAGGCCTGGCAGAGCTACCATCCAAGGTTGCACGCACTTCTGTCAGATCATGGCTGAGGCAAGACCCTTGGCTTGTCAATATTATTCCGTTCCTAGTTCTTACCGATTTACAAAAAAGGCTTTCGTTTTGTGTTTCGATGTGTGCAAATTGAACATGTCATATGTGGCCTCCTCTTAGGGCGGGTAGGTGACAAAGACGTTATAGGTACCTGGAACGCCGCGATCCAAGGAGTGGTTTGTGGCGCCTTTGCCCTCACCATGCGTTTCCTTCTTTACTGGGACATGTCTCTTGGCTTTTTCCCCAATTCCAAGAACGGTCAGGAATCTAAGATCCAAAGGAGGCCAGACTGTCAGAGTCAGAGTTGAGCCCGACCGCTATCTCTGGAAACTCGAAATTGAAAGACTGTTCATGTTCGCCGTTCACCTCCCTTTTGGAGATGTTCCCAATAAATCTCTGTTCACAGAGAAGACCCCATCCTATCCACCAAAATTGGCACGGAGTTTTGCTGCTTCCCACGCAGCCTGGACAGTGGGAAACTTGCTCCACGACACCTGGCCCTTGCTGGTCTGACCTTCGACGTGCCCACCAACACGCTTCACCGCAAAAGCCCGGGTCTTGCACAATACTTCGATGGCCTCAGCGCAACAAGGGGTTCATTGCGCACACAAACACTTGTGCATGGATGCGCTAAGAAAAAACCCCCCGGCGCCCTAAAGATAAAAAAAGCTCATACCAACTTTTTGTTGAGAAACTGCACCATTGGAGGTGTTGACTGTATACCCTAGCTTGCCCTTGGTGGGCCCACATGGCCACGCTTCAGCTGGCACACCAAGCTCTTGCAGGTTGAAGGTCTGGAACATGTGCTTTTCCCCCAAGCACCCATCCGACTCAGGACCTGCGGCTCCATCTGCCTCTTGCTTGGCCTGCTTGGCCTTCTGCGCGCCTTTCACCTGGGATTGAAGCAGAAGGAGATTTGGCGCAAATGGGCTAAAACAACCTTGTCAAAAGGTGGGGCAAAAAGAATGCCAACAATTTACCACAAGTAATGGGAAGTGAGGAACCGTTTGCAAGCCAATCGGTGATGGGGTGATCTGGCCATCGCTGAAAGCAGATTGAATGTGTGGTGTGTGAGGTGGCGTCTCCAGGCTAGGTAACTTCGTAGCTGTTGCACCTCCAAGATTTTTTGCGGTGCCCGACTCAGCGCTTGACTTCAAAGCCTTGTTCAATGGACACTGGCCATCATCCTGGAGAGGGTGCAAGATTGATACTTATAGTGGGTTGGACCCCGGTTTTACCATATGTGCGTATGTCTTTACTATAATTAAGATGTATATATAAACAAGATGTATATATAAATAGTATGTAATCTATAGTATACTATAGCGAACGTTCATATATGGGACGAGGCTCCTGAACAAAAAGTTTCCGCTTCACACTGCTGAAGCAACGGACTTGGGACGTATCGTCAATGCTCATGGCAGGCGGCTCACAGGGCGGAGCAATCTTGTCATCCTGCAACGCGAGAGCTTTACTTAATAAGAGGCACAGAAAATGATTAGTAATTAGCGAAAACATGCGAAAACCATTGAAACTTGTTTTGAACACATTCGTCAAAAATTGTGGCAGAAGAGGCATAGGTCCTTAGCTTTAGCTACCTCCTCTTCCAGTTCCTCCTTCACCTTCACAGACGACGCCTTCTGCGAGTGAAAGAACCGTTCTTCCCACATCTCAATGTGGTCACGTGACCCCAACCATACCGACGCCTTCAACCCATACTTGCTGTAGGCCCACTCGCAGTGGCTCATGTACTCCGGAAGATGCTGTGCCCTGGGCAGCGCGTGCCAGAAAACGCAACAAAATGAGAACTCATCACAGACAAGAAAGCCCAAGCAAAGAAAATCTTTTGAGCAAAGGAAGGGCTACCGCATGATCGGATCCTTCTCAGCTGCAAGGTGCTGCATCAGCGCCATGCACATTTCCACAATGTGGCTCCTTGGCCATCCTGAATGGCCGGCTTCGGGAGACTCAAACATGTGCATATTGCGCGGCACCTCCATGATGCAATCCTTCTCTGGTTCGGCTTCACTCTCCGGGTCAGACGCCCCCAACCGCAAAGTGGGGGCATCCAAGCCATCTGAATCCGAAGCCGGAGATTTAGATTCTTGGGCGATTGCGGCACCAAGTGGATCTTCATCCTTCAGGGCCCCAAACAGACATCCAAAAAGGGATGATGGTAAAGGGCAATGGGACAACACACTATCTACGCGTCAGACTGCATCTGTCCTACATGAGAGATCAAAAACAATGAGGACACTAACAACGCAGGGATTTGCTGTCCTTCTCAACTTCAAAGTCGCTGCAGTCACTGTCACCATCAGCCTCGAAGATACTGTCACCTATGGCAGGCTTGCCCTGGGACTCCACATCCTGGCTATCAGCCTCAACCACATCCTGGCTATCAGCCTCA